CAGAGAGACAGAGAGACAGAGAGACAGAGAGACAGAGAGACAGAGAGACAGAAACAGAGACAATCCGATCAATAAGGATGCGCATGTTTTTTTTCTTCATTTCTTCTTCTTCTTTAAAAAAAAAATCACTCACCACGAGTAAGTCGTTCCCAGGTCAATGCCAATGGTGGGGGCTGCCCCAGCCTCCTGTGTCTGACCATTGACCAGGAGCGGCAGGAAAGGGCAGGTGATCATCATCACCGCAAGGAACAGCTGTGCCCCCATAATGCTCTTGGACACCCGATTGCTCATCATGGTAGATCGTGGCCTCCGTGTGGATTGATGAAGTTTCAGTAACATAGCAGTAGGTTGCTGTGTGGGTTGCTAAGGTGAATCAGGACGTTGGAAACAAGTTTAACGTTCTTTTTTTAATGAAGAAGGCTCTCTGCAGTTGCAAAATGCAAGAAGATTTAATAGATCCACTGTATATCTATAGCTCCTGTCGTCCTGATTTTGTATTCACAGCTTTTCTATGTACCGAAGGTGATGAATGTGCTTACAATCTAAAAAAAAAAGGAAACGGAAAATGTTTTTATTCATCAAACATAATGATTTTAAAAGTTGTTGTAAAGTTTTTCTGAAAATACACTTGTCACACACACACACACACACACACACACACACACACACACACACACACACACACACACACACACACACAAACACGCACACACACATACACAAACATATGCACACACACACACGCTCGTGCGCGCACGCATGCATGGTCAGAGACAGACATTACTAAATAACACACAAGAATGCTTGAGTACAATTTCCTTGGTGGTCTGTTAGCCAAAGTATAGTGTATTTTACACAAATTATAATATTATGTGACAAAGTTGTGAAAAGCGGCGTATTTAGCGTAACGACAACGCTCTTTGCCATTGCATATGGTTTTCAATGCACTAGCGGCCCTTTAGACCTTTTGCAAAGGACTTGAGTTCACAGACTTCTTTTTTTTGAAATAGTGAGAATTGTGAATACAAGTAGTGCAAACGACAACAAACAAAATGAAATGCAAAACCATTAAAACAACAGCAACAGCAACTACAACTACAACAACAACAACAACAAAACCAACAACAGCAAAAACGTGTATACGGAAGTTTACATATCAATCATAACTTTTTCTTATACTGTTGTTTAGAAAAGCGTGATCCCTCACACTAAAGGCCATTTACGAGCTGTACAACAAGGGAAATAGTTGACTGTCGAGCTTATAGAAAAGAGGAAGGAGATGATGAAGCATGAGGCCAGGGACAGAAGCACACGAAAGCAAATATCACACTTTCAGTTTCAGCTAGCTTTTTTGGTATTTTTCTTGGCCCTAGATAGGCCTTACAGCTTTAAAAATGTAACCTTTGCACACAGCCAAATCGCCACAGTTTTGTATTACTCAGTTGTAGTAGTTACGACCCCCCACCCTTCCTCCTCCTCCTCCTCCTCCTCCTCCTCCTCCT